GTTATGAATAGAGGCCTGAGGTGATTGGCCATTTCCCTGGTTGACTTGGAGAAAAAGAGCTGTTCTGCAGCTGGTTTCATGGTGGTTTCGCCTGTTCTGGCAGCAGGCACTTGCTGTTCTGGCGCTTCTTCTACTTCCGCCAGTCTGCACTCGAAGCTTTCTTGCGAGAGGACGTCTCCCTCCAGAGGGCTTCCTTGTCCCTCTGCTTCCTTGTCCCTCTGCTGCCCTGAATCTCTCTGATAGGATAAATACCATGTTAATGCCAAGATCACCTTGCAACAAGTTCTCCAATTCTGCCCCAAAAGCTTCAGTTTCTTCGTCTAGCCCTCCGTCATACTCCATTGCTTCTGTCCAGTCTCCTTGTTCTCCTGTCTCGAGGAAACCAGTTTGATCCTCTGCGGATGGCTCATAGTCCAACTGTTCCTCCTCGTTTTCTTCAGTCCAGCCTTGTTGTTCTTTTTCTGGAACAGGTTCTGGCCCTTCTTGTACTTGTTGAAATTTGGGTTGATCGGCTGGGGATGACGTTGAACAGATGAACGGTTCTGTCTTTATCAGCTTTTGGGATTTATGTCCTGTCTGTTCTGCCTGAAGAATTGCTGCTGGATTTTCTCTACTTCTGGCATAATTTGGCTCTGTCAACACCTATGCATCTTTCCTGTTTCTAAGGAAGGTGGAATATTGCCTCTGAACTCTTCTTTTCTGAGTTCTGGTTAATTCCAAGGTTGGTCTGCCGCTTTTTCCAACGGAATACCATCTTCCCTCTATGATAGTTGCTAAGGGCTTGTCATTTCCTGGCATCTTAATTGGTATCTCCCTCTTAGGGTGCTCTGGGATTCTTCTGTTGGGCTGATCTGGCCTAAGATAATCCCTTTGTCTGACTCTGTTTCTGGAAGGAATCGGAGCTAGGCCTTGCTGGTGCGACGTTCCAATCCGGTCAAACACGCTGTGTGTGGGCTGTTTCTGCCTGTCCAGAGTAACTTCTAACTCACTTTCACACTTGCATTTACTGCGTAGTACTATCCCAGCCGAGATGGTCGCCTTTGGCCTTTGGAAATTTTCGTTTGTAGTTCTCCTGTTCCTGCTGGAACTGGCATTTTCCCTTCATTCTGGCCAATTTAGATTGACCATGTTAACTTGGGGCTGGGGAAAAGGATCTGTCGTAACTGAGGGTGGTTTTTTTGCTAGTTTCAATCTCCCTGCAGTTATTCCTTCTTGTATGACATCTCTGAAAACGACACAACTGTTGGTGGAGTGGTTCCAAGAATTGTGCCATCTGCAATACTGCCTGCCCTTAAGCTCCTCTGGTTTGGGCAGCTTGTGAGGCGTCTCTATTGCCTTTTGTGCCAACATTTCATCGAACAGAGCATCGACCTTGGTTAGATCGAAAGAGTAAACCTTGTTCTGTGTTGGTTTGTTTNNNNCTTCCGTGTCCTCTTCTGACTCTACCTCAATCAAATGGATTGAAGAAGAAGGGGACTTGTAGTATGTACCTTTGGAAGAGTTCCTCTTCTGTTGTTCCTCCCTTAGCAGTTCTTCATATTTGGATGCTTTGTCTGCCAGTTCTGCCAGATCTCCGAACAGCATCCCGTCAAATCTTTTTCTTAATGAAATTTTGAGGGAGGTCTGAGCCATCTGAATGAAATGTCTTTCTTCCATGGGAATTCGGCACTTCATCTTGAGCTTCCTGAATCTGGTTATGAAATCCTGGGCGGGTTCGTCTTCGCTTTGCTTAAGAGCTGCAAGATCACTGATGGTGACTTCTGGCTGGATCCTGAAATAATAGTCATGACAAATGTTTTCCATTTGCTCCCAGGTTTGAACAGAATTGGCTGGCAAACTGGTATACCAGGTGAAAGCCTGTTCGGAGAGAGAATTCCCAAAAAGCCTTAGCTTTAACAGAGGATTATTCTCTATAGCTATGCACTGGACAGAAAATCTGCCTATGTGCTCAACCGACGAAGCATGAGGATCTTCTCCGTTAAATAAGGTGAAGTTTGGTACTTTGAAACCTGCAGGTAAAGGAATCTGGTCTATGTAAGCCGGGTACGGCTTTCTGTAGGTAGGCCTTTCTCCTCTCCTGGCCTCCGGCTCTATCATTTCTCTGATCATTCTCTGTAGTGCCCCCATGTCATTCAAAGCATTGACAGGACGTGGGTTTGGTCCCTGTTCTGGTTGATCATGATCAAACCTGTGCTCTATTCTGTATGGTCGGGGCAGAGCTTCCTCCCTGTGTTATTCCTCTTCTTCAATCTCCAGATGGTTTCTCCGATTTGCCCCCGGTCTGTTCCTGTCATTGTTGGCAAAAGGGTTAATTCCCCCTCTACCTCTCCTGCCCCTTGCTAGTGGAGGAAATGGATTAGGGTCCATTCTTCTTGGTCTATAAGGTGGCACAGCTGGCGCCTCAGGCAGAAGTGGTAGCAGTTGATCTCGCGGGGCCACAGGTTGTGGTGCAGGTGGTTCTGGCCGATTTTGGGGAACCTGAACTGGTGCAGGACCTTCTGGCCTGGCTGGGGCCTCATGTTCTTGGGCGAGAAGGGCTCCGCCCCTCTGTCCAGCTTGGATTTCTTCGGGTCCCGGTACTCCAGCTATCTGTGCAATAAGAGGATTCTCTTGATATGGCCATGCCAGTCCTGGTGGAGGACCGTAGGGAAGGTCCAACTGCTGAACTACGGCGTCAGGATTTGGAATTCTGGCCATAGCAGCCTCGCGATCTTTCCTGAACTGCCTGTTAACTTGCCACTGCATCATGGCTGTTATATTGTTCAAGGACTCCTGACTTCTTTGTGTTGTAGCCTCTTGTCGGAACACGGCTTCCTGTATTTGGTTCAGCCTCCTGGAACCAGTTCTGGAACGTCTGCTTCCTGTACTGCCATGAGCTGATTGTCTAGCGTCGCTTTCCTCTGAGTCTGGTCCTTCTTGGAAAGCTGCTTGGTCTCGTTCCATTGTGCGATATGGATTCTGGCTAGAACTTCCAATATACATATACTTTCAAAATACTGCAGGGTGTATATACTGAGAAGTCCCACTGGGCGTGCCAAATTGTTTACCCGTTTATGTTTGTCTCCTATGATGGTAGGGTAAAGTTCCCCATTAATTCGAAGACCATGGTTTGGTCAGCAAATTAACTTTCTTTATGTGTCGAGCGTGCCACTGTTAGCAATTTTTGATTCTAACAGACTTGAGAATAAGAATAGCTTGCGCCCCAAGCTATTGACTTTGATCAAACGATTGTGAATTTGGGTGAGGAATATCTCCCAAGTAAGTTCTTTTCTATGCCTTAGACTGGTAAGGACTTCATACTTTTTCTCAACATAAAACTGGTAGTTCTGGCCGGAATAAATGATAACGACTGAACTGATTTCAGGCAGAACTCCTTTTTACAAGACTCAAAAAGGGAAAACTGACTATACAAAGATAAGAAGAAGACTGTGTTTCCATTTCTGCCTGGGTAGTTGCCTTTGCTCTAGGCTGGACTGGGTGTGCCTGTGCTGGACTGGACTTCAAACAACTTCAACTGATGGGTTTTGGCTGCAAATCGATACCAAAGCTTGAGTTTGGCAGAGCTTTAATCTATTTCAAGCCCTGGACGGCTTTTGGATGGGCAGAACTGGGACTTCTCCAATCTGAAAGGGGCAGAAGTGGCTGGACTTGAGCTGGGGATGTACTGTAGTACCTGTGCTGCTTAATCAGGGCTCTTCATAAATTTGTTGAGGTTTTCATATTTGAGAAAACTCGAACTCTGCTTAACTTGGCTTTTGCTGAACCAAATTTGTAACGAGAGAAATCTCGCTATTGTTAACTAGTGAACTGGGATTCAAACCAGAGGTAGTGATCTAAACCGCCTTTGCTGGGAGAAAACAGGATGATTCTGCAAGCTTGTTGGAAAGCTTTTGGATTTGGAATATTTCAGACTCGAAATCTGTTCGAACTTGTTTAGGATTTTTGTGATCAAGTGATCATTTGAGTGTTTGTCTTTTGACTGAGTTTTTTTGGTTGGTTGTTGATTGTCTTTTTTCTCTGTTCACCCCCTCTTATATATATGAAATGTTCTTTGAGAGTGGGCGGCAAGTAATCAAAAGATCTTTTAATTTTTAATTAAAACAAACAGGGGTTCCATCCATTTTCTGGCAAGAAAACACTCAATGATCAGTTTTCTGAGGTGACTGCTTCTGCATTTTTGATGGGACGCCAAGCTTGTTCTTCCATTTTACGTGCTTCTGCAAGAGTTTGGAATTTTGAGGCAGCTAGTTCTCAGCTTTCGAATAGCTTCCTGTTTCCTGCTTATCTCTCTTTTTATAAAAGCAGAGTCTGTTTATCCTTGAAAATGGCGTTCCTAAAAAATATCCAGATTATCTTTAGATAATCTAAGCGGAGTTTGATCTCTTGGCAGCAAAGTCACTTCTTCTTTTTGCCTGCTCCTGTTCAGACTTTATCTTGAGCCGATTTCATTGACTTTTCTAAGTCAGGGTCACGTGGGTATGTTTCTTTTTAACCCAAATCGTCAAGCCCATTTCTTCTTTCGGCTGTTTTGGCTTCTATTGCGGCCCAGTTTTCCAAACGTTTCTTGGGCCACGTGATATTGCCCTGTTTGCTTTGCTTAATGGACTGGACGTGCTGATGGGCTGAAATCGTTTCAGGCAGCCCAGGAAGTGATGTGGGCTCTTTGCTTTTGGTTTTGGCGTGTCAAATTTGGGCCCAAACATAGGTGTTCCAAATTAGACAATTCAAGTTCAACGGCAGTTCGTTCCTAATTGGAGTGGTTGGTGTATTCCAAACCTCTAGCGATTGGATTTCACTCAAAACTCACCAAATGACTCCTCCCACCATATTATGAAGTTGCCCAAGTTTTGGGCTCGATCGGAAATCAATAGGTGTGAGCAATTGGACAATTCAAGTTCAACGGCAGTTCGTTCCTAATAGTAGTGGTTGGTGTATTCCACACTTCTAGTGATTGGATTTCACTCAAAACTCACCAAATGACTCCTCCCAACATATTATGATGTTGCCCAAGTTTTGAGCTCCATCCGAAATCAATAGGTGTGAGAAATTGGACAACTCATGTTCAACGGCAGTTCGTTCCTAATTGGAGTGGTTGCTGTATTCCATACTTCTAGCGATTGGATTTCACTCAAAACACACCAAATGACTCCTCCCACCATATTATGAAGTTGCCCAAGTTTTGGGCTCGATACGAAATCGATAGATGAGGAAAATTGGACAATTCAAGTTCAAAGGCAGTTCGTTCCTAATTGGAGTGGTTGGTGTATTCCATACTTCTAGTGATTGGATTTCACTCAAAACTCACCAAATGACTCCTCCCACCATATTATGAAGTTGCCCAAGTTTTGGACTCCATCCGAAATCAATAGGTGTGAGAAATTGGACAATTCAAGTTCAACGGCGGTTCGTTACTAATTGGAGTGGTGGTGTATTCCATACTTCTCTTGACTGCATTTCACATACAACTCAACAAATGACTCCTCCACCCATATTACGATGTTGCCCAAGTTTTGGGCATGATCCAAAATCAATAGGTGAAAGAAATTGGACAATTCATGTTGAACGGAAGTTCGTTCCTAATTGGAGTGGTTGGTGTATTCCATACTTCTAGCGATTGGATTTCACTCAAAACTCACCAAACGACTCCTCCCACCATATTATGAAGTTACCCAAGTTTTGGGCTCGATCCGAAATCAATAGGTGTGAGAAATTGGACAATTCAAGTTCAACGGCAGTTCGTTCCTAATTGGGGTGGTTGGTGTATTCCATACTTCTAGCGATTGGATTTCACTCAAAACTCACCAAACGACTCCTCCCACCATATTATGAAGTTACCCAAGTTTTGGGCTCGATCCGAAATCAATAGGTGTGAGAAATTGGACTATTCAAGTTCAACGGTGGTTCGTTCCTATTTGGGGTGGTTGGTGTATTCCATACTTCTAGCGATTGGATTTCATTGAAAACTCACCAAATGACTCCTCCCACCATATTATGATGTTGCCCAGGTTTTGGGCTCGATCCGAAATCAATAGGTGTGAGAAATTGG